TGAAGTGCTGAGAGTAATTGCAGACAGCATGCCATTTACTTCTGAATGTCAGTGTGTATTGCCTAAGAACAAATTCAGCATCATAATTCTGTTACCTAGCCCACTGTCCATCTTCAGATCTGTCCATATTCTGAAATGGTCCCAGTAATGGCAGAGCTTTGTTGTGAAAAACAGTCTTGAGGTGCAGAGGTGTCTCCTCAGTTATGTTGGCTTAAAGCCAAAAGACATTATTCAGTCACCAATTCCTTCTGTCTCTACAGGACCAGAGTGAGGGCAGCAAGAGCTACTCAGCAACAATGTCTTCAGAAGTGGAGACCTCGGAAGGGGTAGATGAGTCAGAGAAAAAGAACTCTGTGGCCCCAGAGAAGGAAAATCATACCAAGTGAGTGATAGCAACTGGCTGCTTCTCATTGGGAGGGTCCAGCACCTGTTTTGCCATCTGCCCGCATGCCAGTTCAGTCTGTCGGTGGCACTTGGGAATGCCACAGCCCTGAGCTGTGTAGAGCCTGGGATGTTTGGTTGGCACTGCAGGGCACTACTGTCCAGCCTGGGCTGTTCCACTCTCTGGTTTTCTGTGTTCTGTTACCCAAGGAAACAGGCCAGGCCAGATAGGAGTGCTGAGTCAGGGTTTCATAATAGTCATCTTTCTCTTCTTCTTCTTTTTTTTTTTTTTTTTGGTTTTTCGAGACAGGGTTTCTCTGTGGCTTTGGAGGCTGCCCTGGAACTAGCTCTTGTAGACCAGGGTGGTCTCAAACTCACAGAGATATGCCTGCTTCTGCCTCCTATGTGCTGGGATTAAAGGCGTGTGCCACCAATGCCCGGCATCTTTCTTTTCTTAAAAACCAAGTAATACCAGGCATGGTGGTGTGCACCCCTGATCACAGGCTAGCCTGGTCTACAGAGCAAGCCAGTACATCCAGGGCTACATAGACAAACCCTATCTTGACAGTCAAGGAAAAAAAAAAAACCTAAGTGGTTTTTCACCTGGGCTAATGAGGAATAATGAGAGGAAAAGCTGGTTCCTTTTCCTTTTACAAGGTCATCTCCCTACCAAATGTGGAATCTGAACTCTGTTCTAGGTCAGGGCTTTACTTGCTAATCTCTCTAGGGCTCAGAATACTGGCCCTGATCTGCGTTTTTCCTAGCCTTTCACTAAAGTCCTGTAGTTGGCTAGGTTATTTTTTTTTTTTAGAAGAACAGTGATTTTTTTTAAGGTTTTATTTATTATGTATACAACATTCTGCTTCCATGTATATCTGCACACCAGATGAGGGCACCAGATCTCATAATGGATGGTTGTGAGCCACCATGTGGTTCCTGGGAATTGAACTCAGAACCTCTGGAAGAGTAGCTAGTGCTTTTAACCTCTGAGCCATTTCCCTAGCCCCAACAGGCAGATCTCTTGAGTTTGAGTTCTACAGAGTTCCAGAATAGCCAGGGCTACACAGAGAAACCATGTCTTGGAAAAACCAAAAAAGAGGAGAAGGAGAGAAGAAGAAAAGAATACAAAGCCAAGATCTTGGTTCTTGTCTCTCCACTGTCTCATCTTTTCACATCTGGGCCCATCCACATAATATCCTGAGGAATTGGTCCCTCATTGGGAGGAAGGCAGCTTTCTGGGCTGAATTAAGTCTTGTTTCTTCAGCCACTAGGTGGCCACAGAAGCCAAAACATCATGCATTTGGGTGCTCTCTCTCTCTTTCTCTCCTGTCTCCAACCCCTCTCTCCATAGTAATAATCTTCATGCCCGCTGAGTTTTTGTGGCAGATTATCACATCTGCCTACCTTGTGCTGACAGCGCTCACCTGTTCATGCTGGACTGGTGTCTCTGCAGTTCCAGCTTCCAGTTTGTATCTGGGGTCTAAACTGTCTTTTTCCCTTTAATCGTTTTTGGAGAACTGGAAAGGGCTACTGTCTCACACACAACTCATTTCCACAGAATGGCAGACCTCTCTGAGCTCCTAAAGGAAGGGACCAAGGAAGCACACGACCGGGCAGAAAATACCCAGTTTGTCAAAGACTTCTTGAAAGGAAACATTAAGAAGGAGCTATTTAAGGTTTGTGCCCTCAGTCAGATGGGGTTGGAATCTAAACTTTAATAAGGGATGGGAGATGGGGTGGCCTTAGTTGGCTGGGAAGTTGCCCTACAACCACTCTAAAGTAGAAGCTGCTGGGTATTTTTCTTGGAGGTGGTCCAGATGGGCTCTAACCCTGGGTCCTCCAGCCTCAGCTTTCTGAATATGGGGGATGAAAAGTATGTGCCTCCACGACCAGACATAAATTTTTATTTCCTGGTGTTAATCATGGCTGCCCTAGCCTAAATGAATTAACAAAAATATGTTTGTAAATATTCAGTCTTTTCTTTAAGAAGCTACAGAAGCTTCCTAGTTGTGTTAAGTAGTACACTATATAAAAAAAGGCATCAGAGGGTCTTTGGAACTGGACAAAGTGGCTTTTGTCTTGAGCTACTCTTAAAACATAGTGAATTAAAAAAAAAAAAAAAGAAAAAATCTGGGTAGTGGTGGCAGCACACACCTTCAATCCCAACACTGGGGAGGCAGAGGCAGACAGATCTTTCCTTGGTCTAGGACAGCAAGGACTACACAGAAAAAGCCTGTCTTTGAAAAACAAAACATGGTGGGTTCTAGAGCTGCTGGCTCAGTTTATAATCTTCTCCCACAATCTTCCATTGCCCTCACAGCTTGCCACTACCGCACTTTATTTCACATACTCAGCCCTTGAGGAGGAAATGGACCGAAACAAAGACCACCCAGCCTTTGCCCCCTTGTATTTTCCCATGGAGCTACACCGGAAGGAAGCACTGATCAAGGACATGGAGTATTTCTTTGGTGAAGACTGGGAGGAGCAGGTGAAGTGCTCCGAGGCTGCCCAGAAATATGTGGATCGGATCCACTATGTAGGGCAGAATGAACCAGAGCTGCTGGTGGCCCATGCTTATACTCGTTACATGGGGGACCTTTCAGGAGGCCAGGTGCTGAAGAAGGTGGCCCAGAGGGCACTGAAACTCCCCAGCACCGGGGAAGGGACCCAGTTCTACCTGTTTGAGCATGTGGACAATGCCCAGCAATTCAAGCAGTTCTACAGAGCCAGAATGAATGCCCTGGACATGAATTTGAAGACCAAAGAGAGGATTGTGGAGGAGGCCAACAAAGCCTTTGAATATAATATGCAGGTACTGGGTACAGACCCTGGATGCATGAACTTGATCTTTTAGCAGTAGAATCAAAGCCAGAGCTTTCTTGAGAGGCTATTTGTAGCATGACAAATGAGCTCCTATATACCCTAGAGAAAGATGAGGGAACCAGTTAGCCATCAGAGAGCATGGGGCCAGTGTGTAGCTCCCAGATGGAGGCCTGGTTTGAGGCCCATGCCTATTACTGGAAAGGGCAAAGCTCTAGCATTTGAGAGGTCTGAAAATAGAACTATCCCCCTCTTTCTCGCTACAGGTTTCTAGGATTGATAAATGGGTAATTTCCTCATTTAGTAGCAAAGAAAGGAAAAATATTTAGTATGGAGCCAGATTTAATTGGAAAGTAGAGTACATTTTATAAGTCTTAGGTAGGTAGGGCTGATCATGCAGAAGCCATTTCTGATTCCAGAACCCCATGTCAGCCCTCAGTGTCAGAACAGCAGCAGTCAATTGAACTCCCACTAAGACTTGGTTTGATGTTCAGCTGGTCCTGATCAGGTGTATCTAGGCTGTAGCTTCTCTATGGGTGGTGAGTAGGTTGCAAATTCTGAGTCTGCCTAGTTCGTGGATAGCTCAGTTGATTTCTGCTCCTCAGATATTCAGTGAACTGGACCAGGCTGGCTCCATGCTGGCAAGAGAAAACCAGGAGGACGGGTTCCCCATGCACGATGGGAAGGGGGATGTACGTAAATGCCCCTTTTATGCTGCTCAGCCAGACAAAGGTAGGTTGTGGGTCCTGAGCTAACATTCTGGAGTGGGTGTGTCATTGCCCTCCACTGATGCCATGTCTCCTGTTGTGCTGCATGCAGGTACACTGGAAGGCAGCAACTGCCCCTTCCGGACAGCCATGGCTATGCTGAGGAAGCCTAGCCTCCAGCTCGTTCTAGCTGTCAGTGTGGCCCTGGCTGCTGGACTCTTGGCCTGGTACTACATGTGAAGGACCTGTCCTGTCATTTGCATCCTACCTACCCCAAGTGACCTATTCCATCCCTATCTCCACCTCTAACTAAACAACCACCTCAGGTGACTTTTTTAATGCTGGGTTCGAGAAAACAAGCAACCAATAAAAGCCAGACACTAGAGCCTCTGCGTAACAGCATCTTCTCTGCCAGCCAGGTACACACCAGGCACAGGCTGCACTACTAGTCAGACTTGGACTTCTGATCTGGCAGTGCTCCACGATTTTTGCCATTTTGGAGGCCTGGGTGCATTCTCTTCTTTAATAGTGCTTGGAGTAGTGCCTTGCTTGGGAGTGGGCAGTCCACACACCCAGGCTTTGTGGTAAAGAGTCATGCCAACTGATGTTCACTTTCTAGGCCTCAGGGAGCTTTTGGGGGTGGAAACTATGCTTTTCTGTCTCCAAGCCCAGAGTTTATCCTGTTCAACTGGGATTTCCCTAAGAAGCCTGTTAGCCTGGGCTGTCTCCACTGACCTATATACATGTTACAGCACTTCGGACACCTCATACTTCCTCCTCCCTGGGATAGGGTAGGTGAGACTACCTCCTGGTCCCCAGAAGTCTACAAGGAAGTAGAGATCCTCAGAAATAGTGGCATGTTGCATACATCCTCTTTTGATGACAGCCCTCCCCTGCTTCCCAACACTCCTAGCCAATTCCTAATACCTTATTTTTCCATGTATTCATGCTAAGCATTATAAAGATCCTTAATGTCTACTTGAACCTGTGGTTTTTCTTAGAAATACTTTGAGGTAAACAATTCATGGTCTAAAATAGAAATGTGGGTTAAATATTTTTATTAGTAGGAATCTATTCCTGTAAAATTCTGTGAAAAAAAAAAAAAAAAAGGTAAAACAGAAGGGAAACTCTTGAAAGGTGAGCCCACGATTTTCACAGTTGAGATGGTTGGATTTAACCAAGGCCAACCTGGTTCAGAACCTGAGTGCCCGGCTTCATCTTCAGACTATATATAAGATCTCAGTCCAGTAGTGCTATCTTGTTTAAGGGCAGAATAATACTGCCTTCGGGTTAGGAGGTCAATAAGTTGGGAAAGGGCTCCAGTTCTCAGGCTCTGCAGCCTGGACACCTAATTATGTAAATGGTGGAAACCAATGCTGAAACCAAAACCTCCCTGGCCCAGAACAGCTAGGTCCCCCTAGAGTAAGTCTATATATATAAATTCTGGTTTGGTGTAATTGGGTTCTTAAACATGTGTTGTTTCCCAGGCCCAATCTCTTGCTTGCCAGTATACTACCTGTAGACCCACCCTGTCCCTCAGAAAAGAAGGAAGCCAGGCAAGACAGCAGAGGAGGCCCAGGGCAGGGAAGTGAAAGGGCCAATTTAATGAAACTACAAACTGGGACCAGGCCACAGTTCACAGTGATAGGAGGCCATGCAGTGGTAGTGTGAGACCAGGAGAGGGACAGCAGCAGGACACAGTGTCCACGTGGGCATATTCACAGACCATTCAGGAAATAGTTTGGGTTTACACCCTGGCTGGGCAAGACTCATGTGCTTAGGATACCCCCACTACTTGTGACTTCTTCCTGGTCCTCAGCCTAGTGTCACAGTTCTCCCTACTGAAGTGCCCCAATATGGAAGCAAGTCAACTATGGCAAAAAGACTGGCACTTATTCCAGAGACTCATGAACCTACAAGGAGGCTGTTATGATCTGCCACTCTCAGTAAGCTACCAGGTAAAAGTTATACCCATATATAGCACAGACACAAAAGTAGACAGACAGGACAGGGTCATGGGCATTCATTCCTTCTGGCCCCAGAAAATATAGGGGTTCACGGAGATGTGGCCAGAAAGGAGATCTGCACATTGACTCAAAGGAAGCTAGATGAGAAAGGGGGCAAGTTCTTCTTGACTACCAGGGCCTTTAACTAGCCCAGTGTCCTCTTTGCCTTATACCAGGCAACTCTTGGATACCTCCTGGACAGTGGGTAGAAGTCCTGGATTTCTATACCTGAGAGTTCTGAGGCCCAAGTTGGCAGTCATCATTCTTACTCCACCTTTGGCACCCCAGATAAGACAATATACTCCACATAAACCCAGGCCTTAAGACCCAGTCTTGCTTGGGTTCACTTAACTCTAGATGATTCCGACCTCATTCCAGCAGGTCAGATACAACTGTGGTTCCAGGCACAACCCTCACCATAGGCCCTAGTCTGGGAACCTATTCATGCTTTGGGTGCTTTTGGTCCCAGGAATAAGGACCAAACCTGAACCCTTATAAAGAAAGGACCCCAGTAAGAGACCCTCTCCAGCTCATCTTCTGGATTGCAAATGCCCAAACATCACACAAGATCAGTGTCACCCCCATGCCACCCACTGGCCCTTGGCCTTAAATCCAACGGAATTTTTGCTGGAAGTAGGATGCTCAGGGAAGGGCAAGGTGAGGACAGTATTTCCAGGGGACAATGGCAAAACTTCCAACCCTGAGTGGGGGCTGGGGGGAAGTGACCACTGAGCATAGGGAGCAAAGCACATGGGGCCAGACTGATAGGTGGGGGAGTCCAAGTCTAGCTCCGTTAGCACAAGCGCTTGTATGTGTAGATGTAGGCTTTGCAGCTGGGACACGTGTGCGTCACATCCTTGAAGTCATTGATGAGGCAGGGGATCAAGCAGCAGCCCAGATCACACCTGAATTGAAGACACAGATAGGCTGAGGCCTGAAGAAAAGGTCAGGCAGCATACAGACCCCCAGCAGTACCACCATTTGTCAGCACCCCACACTTACCCCATGAAGCAGCAGAAGAAACCCAGCACAAAGTTCATCAGGCCAATCTCGTAGGAGATCTTGGTGGTGATTGCTTGCTGGCAGTGGGGGCACACTGTCTGCACAGGTGCACCTTCAAAGATCTCTCCCTGTAGCACTGTCACTGTGGTAGCTGCCCCTGATGGCACCAAGACTGTGGCCGTGTGGCCCCCAGGGCCAGGATAGGGCCCTGGTGGGTAGGGTCCTGGTGGATAATAGCCCATAGGTGGGTGAGGGCCTGGAGGAGGGTAGAAACCTGGAACATACAAGAGAGGTCACTGATTGGCTGAGAGAACACAAAACATAGGATCCCAGGACTTAGGGCACAGCCCATAGCCTCTTGCCACCTTCCCCAAGAGGGCCAAAATGTCAGTGGGAACAGACCTCAGCTCAAGGTGGCTATTTATAATGACCCAGGTCTTTCAATCTCTACCACATTGAGACCAAGACAGATGTGGCAGAGAGCTGGGAGTACAGCCCATCTCCACTTAACTTCCTTGCCTCTGGCATGCCAAGACTCTTCTTCCATGCCTGCAAGGATGAGGGTTTCAGCAGCAAGAGGGAAAGTATCACACCTCTCCTGTATACAAAGCTTTTGCATATCAATGTCTGATATGCCAAAGATCACCCAATCTAAACCCAGACAGGAACCACAGACTTTGGGCCTGAGAGCTACTGGAGAGCAAAGGCCCAGTTCTCCTTTGGTGGCTTATGTCCCTGACAGGGAAAAACCCCACCACAACACAGTCCCTCAGTGGGTGACAAGCTCCTCCTTTGCCACCATTTTCATTTCATGGGGCATGACTGATGCCTTTCCACAGTGAACTGAGGGTGACAGCTGCCTCTGCTTCCTTCAGGTCTCTTCTCAACTCACCTGCAGGCATGTAGGCGCCATCTGCACTCATGTGAGGGGGCACAAAACCAGGCTGAGGCACTGGATGACCAGGTGGCTCATAAGGTGGGGGAGCAATATCAGCAGAGGGCAGTGGCATGCCTGGTGGCGGCTGCATCACTGCTGGGGAGGCGCGGCCTGGACAGAGAGGGACAGAAAAAAGACAGCAGGGTGGGCATAGAGTGACCCTGAAACAGGATTAGTTCACTGTGAAAAGCCTCAACCACACTTGAGATGGAGAGAGTTGTGACAGGGACCCCAGAAGGCTCAGGTCAGGAAAGATCCTAAAGACGAGCCAATTTACTGGCCCAGCAATCCCATCTAGCGACCTTACCCAGACCTCTACCAAAGGTGATCTAACATTACCTGGGGTAGGTGGGGCTCCACTTTTTTCCTCTAGTAGTGGGGCTGTAGGACCGCCAGGATAAGGAGGGGGTGGCTCATTAGACATCTTTGCTGCTGACACTCCTGGACCTGGAGGAAAACCAAGTTCAGCTCCTTGTTCCTATGCAGGGTCAACACACTGGGTTGTGACCATCTTCAGATGCCCACCAAGCCCAAGCAACTAAGTGTTTTCTCTGGCTCCTCTCAGGGGTTCTCTGGTTCAAGCTCAGGTACCTGAGCTTTACCACCTTTTCCTTTCCTCAAAAGGAAATCTAAGTGTTTGGAGGATGAAGGCTGGTGGCTAGGTCCAGTACCCTTGGGAGCCATCAGTGACTAATGGGGTCCCTCTGACACTTGGGATACTGTATCTCTGCCAGCGCCAACCCACCAGAGCTACGGTCCTTCACACTGCTCTATGGTCACCCACAATTCTTTGGAAGCTGGTGAGGACAAGGCCCAGCAATCCTCTTTGGGAACCTAACCCCTATATCTACCCAGGGAAGCTTGGCACCCAGTCTTCCAACTCTTAACTGAGCCACAGAGGAGCGGACTTCTACTACAGGCTGCTGTAGCCATGTTTGGAAAAGAGTCTGGATTTCTTTTTCTTTCTTCTTCTTCTTCTTTTTTTTTTTTTTGGTTTTTTGAGATGGGGTTTCTCTGTATTGCTTTGGAGGCTGTCCTGGAACTCGCTCTGTAGACTAGGCTGGCCTCGAACTCACAGAGATCCGCCTTCCTCTGCCTCCCAAGTGCTGGGGTTAAAGGCATGCGCCACCACCAGCCGGCGAGTCTAGATTTCTTACCTCAGATTCCTTGTGCACAGAGAATGAAAGCACTTGAGAATAATTCAGCTACTGGCTGAGACAGGGATCCAGGAGGCTATTTCAGGGAAAGAGACAGCAACACCTTTAACCATAGGTTTCCAGGTAAGCTACTCACCCTGCTTACTCGAAGCTTAACCACTCCTCTCTACCCTTTTCTTTCCCCAAGTGGCACAGCTGCTGGATCCTCTGGGTACCCACCATTCTCAATCCCTACAGTTCCAATCCCCATGCTTGAAAGAATGCCAAAGGAAGTCAGCTGTGAGTTAGTGTCTGGCACTGGTTTACCCCCTTCTGTTTTGCTTGGGAGATATGAGAAGTTAAGAGTCAAAGGAAATACTGTTTTATTCCATCAAATGTCCTGAGTACTTGCTGCAAGGTACTGGTGGAGAAGCAGATGCCCTTACAATAAGTCCAAGCACACAGACAGAGGTACCAAGTTTGCCAAGAGTGAGATCATGGGGTCCATGATTCTTTTTTCCATACTCTCCAACTTCACTTTTTTTCCCCTTTGAAATAGTCTCACTGTGTAGTCCAGTCTAGCTCCTACTCGCCATCCTCCCGCCTTAGCCTCCCAAATGCTAGGATTATAGGCATGTGCCGGAACATCTTAATTCCTAAATTTAACATGGCAGGGGCAGAGGAATCAGGTTCAAGCTTTGGGTTCAATTTTAATAAATAGGACAAGTTTGAGAAACTCCACTCGTGACCAATGCAGCCTAACAACTCCCATGGCCTTCTGCAGGAAGTTACTCAGGCAACCTGAGTATGGGGTTCTTTGCCTGCACCCACTGCGGCTTTAGCCCTTTCCACAGGCAGACCCATAGCTGAGGCTTCTATCCACTGCTCTGGGTTATAGGGCCAGCCACTCCTCTGAAAAACCACCCTCACACCTCACAGCCCCAACCTATGGATGTCTGAGTCTGAAATGCCATGTGCATTTCATTCAGTTGCTTTGGGGGCTGCTTGTTCTAAGAGCAATCATGGAATGGAAACCTGATGGACATCCCAGCAGTACAACCCGACCTGGCTTCCCCTCACCCTGCATGAAACTCTACCAGGAAGTTGCAAGTTCTACCTTTACTTGGCCACACTCACCCACCAGACTGAGCTACTGTTTCTCTGAACAACTTCCAGATGGAGGTTTTTACAGGAGCAAGGATAGAACTGACATTCTGAGATGTCCACCAAAACGAGGAGACACAACAGAGACATGAAATAAAGTAGCCCCATCCCAGGCCATATGGAATGGGACTCAGCTCCAAGGAGAAACGTCTACAGTCTTGGAACATGGGTCAGCAGAACACCAGAACTCTATTTCTTCTCCCATTCGAGGAGAAAGGGTTGGCTTTTAGCAGGCAAAAAGAATGGACAGTAAGGAGATCTGGAATCAGACAAACCTGACCTCAAGTCCAGGACCTTGACATGCCAAAGAGTCGCTCAGGTTTCCCGTATGAGAAAACCCCTGCCCCAGGCCCACACAAAACCTAATCTCCAGCATATCCCATGGGGAAGGGGGTCCTGCTGAGGGATTAAAAGTGTTCTGCAACTATATCACAGTGATAGTTTACAGCTCTGACAACATATCAAAAGCATCAAACATAATAGTAGGAAATTATTCTTACAAATAAACTTAAGCAATTTCATGTAGTACAAATGTCACAGATTATAGAAACTAAGATGGCTATGACAAAACTTTCTTTTTGTTTTTTTGTTTTTCGAGACAGGGTTTCTCTGTGTAGTTTTGGAGCCTATCTAGACCAGGGGCTGGCCTTGAACTCATGGAGATACACCTGTCTCTGCCTCCCGAGATTAAAGGCATGTGCCACCAATGCCCAGCAACAACACTTAATCTTATGGGACCTTGGTATATACAATCCAGCTGTCACCAAAGCATTATTATGTCACACATGGCTGTACTTTCAATTAAAGAATTCCCTCTGTAAGACTGGCCTATGGGTATATGTCTGTGGGGCATTTTCCTGATGTAGGAGTGCCCAGTCAATTGTGGGCAGTACTAACCCTAGGCACAGAAAAGGAGCTGTGAGTCTAAGAACACCAAGCCAGTAGTGTTTTCTTTAGGGTTCTCCTTGAATTCCTATCCTTCCTGGTTTCCCTTGATGGTGAGACTGTAACCTGGAAGCTGTAAGCTAAAACAAACCCCTTCCTCTCCAAGTTGCTTTTGATAATGGTGTTTTATCACAACAACAAATAAGCAAACTATGACACTTGGGATGGAAAGCAAGAGAGATGGGGATTGAACTCCCCCCGGTATGCTAAGTACAGTTGTTCTCTGGGTCTCTTGTTTCCCAGAGAGGAGTTCCAAGCACAAGGCCTCAGAACCCTGAGAACTGCCCCTGGCATTCTACTTGGCGCTCAACTATTCATTATACAGTGCAATTGATCTAAGGCCAAGGCAGAGCCTGGCAGCCTGCCACTAATACAGGGCCACTTGGAGGGGAATGACAGCAGAGTGCTTATCTCCTGGCCACAGCCACAGCTATGAGGTCTTAGGGTAAGCTTAATTCTCTGGTTGAAACTGTCCTACACACTGCATCTGAGGGTAGTCAGCATATTCCCATGGTCTTTCTGTTCCTCAAAGTGCCAGGCACCAGGCATACTACCAAGTTCCAGGGCAGCTAAGTTTGAACCATAACTTGAACAACTACAACTGTGCATGTGCTTTACTGGAAATACAGCTATCAGTCTTGACGTGGCTATAAATCCTGGGGTTTTTTTGTATGCCTCACACTTCATCATGCCCAATGTTCAAAAGTTATGTACTCACATGCTAAGATTAAGAAAGCTGTGCATGCTTTGGCAGCACATACACTAAAATTCAAATGATTCAGAGATAGCAGGATCTCCTGCACAGGGTGACACATAAATTCAAGACACTTTTGTAGTTTTTTTCCTTGTTACTGTTAAACTTTGTTATGTTTAGTAATAACCATTTTCTTGTGAGAAGGCTTTGTGTAAAGCTAATGGAAAAGGTACTCATTTTACTCATTTACTCATTTTGGTAAGTTCTTGTTGCTATTAATTTTTTAAGAATTTTAGTGTTTGTGTGAACATGCCATGGCATGTGTGTGGAGGTCTGAAGTCAACTCTCTAGAGTCAGCATCTTAATCCACCTTATGTGGGTTCTGGGGGTAGAACTCAAGTCACCAGGTTTGCATGTTAAGCACCTTTACCCACAGAGCCATCTTACTGGCTAACCATTAACTTCTCACTAATAAAAAACTATCTTGCTGGGCGTTGGTGAAGCATGCCTTTGATCCCAGCACTTGGGAGGCAGAGGCAGGCGGATCTCTGTGAGTTCAAGGCCACCCTGGTCTCCAGAGTGAGTGCCAGGACATCCTCCAAAGCTACACAGAGAAACCTGTCTCGAAAAACCAAACCAAACCAAACAAAACAAAACAAAAAAAACAAAAAAAAAAAAAACTATCTTAGCAGGACAAATGCCTTTAATCTCAACACTTAGGAGGCAGAGGCAAGTAGATCTTTGTGAGTTCAAGTCTAGCCTGGTTTCTAGAATGAGTTCCAGGACAGCCAGGGCTACACAGAGAAACCCTGTCTCAAAAAACATAGCTTTAAAAATAAAAAAGAGCCGGGAGGTGTTAGTGCACACCTTTAAACCCAGCACTCAGGAGGCAGAGGCAGGCGGATCTCTGTGTTTGAGGCAATCATGGTCTCCAGAGCGAGTGCCAGGATAGGGTCCAAAGCTACACAGAGAAACCCTGTCTTGGAAAAAGAAAAAAAGTAAAAAATAAAAAAGAATGCTGTGAGGTGGTGGCACAGACCTTTAACTCCAGCACTCAGGAGGCAGAGGTAGGCACATCTCTGAGTTCAAGACCAGCCCAATCTACAGACCAAGTTCCAGGACAGCAAGGCTACATAGAAAAAGTCTTGAAAAACCAAGAATGAATGAATGAATGAATGAATGAATGAATGAATGAATGAGAATAAAGTTTTTACTACCTTTCCTTGTGTGGCACCTGCCTGTGTGGATGCTGTGTGTAGTGGAAAGATTAGTGCAGGTCAGTGCCCCTGCCTTGTTCCAACTTGAGCTCCAGTACTTTTCTTTCATGATTCTGAGCCATTCATGCAAATGCCAATTAATGCAGAGTCAAGGTAACTAATAGCATCTCTGCTCTACTAATAAGGTAGTCTGACCACCAGCCATACCTCAGGAAACCCCAGGCTGCGGAAGACACTACTATAGTGGAGAGACCCCACTAGACTGAATGAGGTATTAGATGTTTAGAGACAGGGTCAATTTTCCACTGTCAAAGAGACCTAGAGTCTTGGGTATCTCCAGGGAAAACAGAGCCTGTTGTTGTTCAACCCAGACTGCACCCCAGGGAGGCACCTGCTGCTGTGCAAGCTTCTTAAGTTAAGTAAGCAGTTGGGACATGGGCTCTGCATCAACCTTTCTAAATCCAGCTCTCCATTTCTGGCTGCGACATCAGAACCTTGGCTTACTTGTTTGCCTTCCTCTCAGAATGGAAGAAATGTTACCAGAGAGGGTGCAACATGTCCTCTGCTGGAGGGTAGGAGTTGGCTCACAAGAACACTGAATAAAAAGAAACTGTCACTTCCATACCCACCAGGGACTAATGCCTCTATCCCCAAGTGATCTGATCCCTGCGGCTTGTGATCACCTGCAACAACCTCATTCTGAGACCTTCCACCAAGACCCAGTCTGAGCACTTCAGCCCTGTGGCATCCATTCCCAAAACAGCAGAGGTCACAGCCTCTGAGAAACCCTCTAGATTGCTCTCCTGTGAACTGTATCTTAAAACAAGTAGGGACTTGCCTGGAGCTCCCCCAAGTCAACAACACCCCTGGGAAAGCATTCTACCTCAGATCCAGTGGCATGGAAGTGGAGTGCAGCTGCTGCAGAGCTGCATTCCCAGGATCAGTTGACAGCCACTGCTGCAGAGGTCGTCTCTTGTGACAACCCTGGATTGAGACACCAGCTGGCCTCAGATGGGCGGCTCTGCCTCTGAGAGCAGGTCTCTGAACATCTGGCCAGTGGCAGGGCATTGTGCCTCA